GAAAGATCCAGCTGTTCACGTGGCGTGAGATTCCCCGTGTTTAAGGCTTTGGAAGGAAACCACCCAAAAGGATGATTTCCCTGCTGTGAAATTCCAGGAGGAGGGAAATTACCTTTAGATTTTGTTTATAGGAGCTTAAAATAAATGGGAGATGGTTTTAGGGGGGCGCAGAGCAGGTGGAAGGGGAATCCCCGGCTCCGGGAATGAAAGTGCCCGATGCCCCGGCTGTCCCCGGCATCTGTCTGTCCCCTCTCCGCCAGGTTCACGGCTGCGGGGAGAAGGCCAAGGCCCACGCACGGCAGAGGATCAGCAGGGAAGGGGTGCTCTATCCCGGGAGCGGCTCCAGAGACAAGGACCTGGACCCGGCTAAGAGAGCCCATCTCCAGCGGCGCCTGGCCCAGAAGCTCCGTGAACTGACCACCAGCCAGAGAAAGAGCAAAAAGAAGGACAAGGAGAAGTGACGGCGCCGAGGTTTGACCCTCAAGTCTCAGGTCAGGCTACAAAACCGCGGACACTGTTGGAGCTGTGGGTCGCGCTGCGCCCCTGCTCCCGCTCCGGGTGGTGGACAGCTCGGAGCCACTCGCTGGGCCTCCCCAAACCTCGGAGCTCAGCCGGAAGCAGGATGGCAGCTTGTCCCGGTTGGCCCTGTTGGCAGAGGAGTGGCCCGGAGAGGCTGGGGGGCGCCAGGAGTGACGGGTATTAAAGCACCTAAAGCCGTCGGCTGTCGCTGTGACATTTCTCCCTGCTCCGGTAAGGGTCTGTGAGTGGGAACGTGGGAGGAACCGAAAACCACGGGTGTCCCTGTGCTCCAGGGAGGATGGCTAAGAAAATGGATGTCTCCCAGTCCAGCAATCCTCCCAGCACAGCTCGGAGTCCGCATGGCAGCCAGCAGGATCCAAAATCCCGGGCTGCCCTTCGGGAGGAGGCAGAGCTGGGCTGCGTCCCCTCCCCAACCTGCCGAGGGGCTGCGGGACGTGTCCCGTGCCTGGCTCAGCCCTGCTCCGGGGCTGGTGGGGATGGAGAGGCCTCCAGCCCTTCCCGT